GAAGAAGCGGAGGGCCTTAAGGCCATCTGCATGGGGAATGCAGGTGTAGAGGGACTGGACGTCCATGGTAAAGATGAGGTGTTGGGGACCGGGGAATTGGAAGTTGCAAAATTGTTATTCTGCTGTTACTTGTCAGTTAATAGAGAATATGGTAAAATCTTGATAGTTCTGTACAGCATTTAAGCAGCTCAAATTTCAAATTTATATACTTACATACTATACTCCAAAATCTTTGAGTAGTTTCAAAGAAGAGGAGATGGAATGGTAATCTGCTCTCAGCCATTGGTGAAACGTCAATTGAATGTTTCTGGAGATACTGAAGTTCCAAGTTCCCAGGTGGTGAAATTCGTTTGTAGGAGTACAAATGTTGTAAAAGATTTAAAGCCTATTAAGACAAGATTTTCTTTAATATAAAACTTGAGGGTTAATAAGCTAATGTAACCCCATTCTACCTGGACCAGCAATTATGTTTAAGTAATGCCTAAATATGTCTGGTGTACTGTAATTTCTTTACAACAATGTTTTTTTTCAGTTGTAGAGAGATAAGGTTTACTTTATGAACCCAAAACAGATCTCCACATATATCCCTGGTCCCAAAACATTTGTTCAAGTCTTAAAAACTCACTTGAAAGTACCACATCTCTCTCAAAATAAAACAATTTAAACTGAAAACATCAAGCAACTTTTGTTCACTCAATCATAATCATTTGCATATAAAAACAATGGCATCCACAGGCAGTTTTTAAGCCTTTGGGCCTATTTGTTCCTACCTGATCCAAGTTAAAATTCATAGAAGGTTCATTCGCCAATTTCATAATCTTTAAAGCACTTTCAATGACTTCATAGTTATATGGGTCCATCTTAAGTTTAAGACAGAAGTACAGATTAATATTCAATAAATATAGAGTTAATTATTCACTTCTAAGATGCACAGCGGAATAAAATTCTACAAGAGACTGAATTTACATAGTTGTTGGAAAGATACAACCACAAACCCAGAGCCTCTGTCACCAGACTGCAGACAGCATCACCAGCTAGTTCCACAGAATGACACATTTGTCTTATCCTCGGTTGTCAGTAGCTCTCAACCATATTTCAGTATAACAGGATGCACTGTGCTCTAAGCTAGGCATAGATAAATCATATTTCAGTGCATAACTTTAGGCCACAATTAGTCTACTGTGTACAGTTGGACATTCCATCATGGAAGCAACATTTGAAAAGTCAGATAGCATACTGTGTACATTCATTAAGATGAGATCTGAGATTGTCACAATGAGGCCGTTGTTTCTTCTCTAAATAAATATTTGAAGCAGATGATAATACAAGGCTATGGAAAGACAAAGAAGAGTTAGCACAAATATAGTGAACAAAACAGTCACTTTCTGTGCCCCAGAAGTCTATGGTTCTGTCATAAAGTCAAAAACGGTAGTTGGCATGTGTCACAATCATGATTAAGAAGGGAATCAAAGGACCACATTTTGACGAATTCCTTAAAGCTACCATTTGAAGGAACAAAAACTACAAACCACAGTTATCAAGTATCTCTCAAAACTGTGCTAGGTCGTAAATCTCAGTCTGTATGGCAGTCTTGCTGAAAAATCTACAATGTTGTTTTGAAATTACTGCTTTAAAAGTAGGACACAGATGCTTAAATTATTTCAAAAATAGATTACCTTGTGTAGAGTACCATTCAAACTAATCACCAAGTCGGTTTTATTTTTTAATAAAGGCAAGACTTCCATTGCTCTTTCCAAAAGCTCAGCAGGAGATTGTTTTATGCCTCCTGGCTCTCCTTCACCATGGTGGCCATTTATGCCTTGCAGAAGAAATGTCTCTATGTACAGTTGCAGTGCAACATCACTGTTCAGTCCAAAAGCACTAGAAGAAAAGTACTAGGACATTCAACTGATCACCTAGTTTCAAACTAAGCAAACATGTAATTCAGTTAATACCTAAAAGCTGTGTATTAAAAGACTTTAAACTATTCCAATGACCACACACAATTACTACCAATTGTCATGTCTCACTGGATTAGTGTGCTGAAAATCAAATACCGTTACTTCTGGAGTTATCATAAAAATTAAATATTTTATAAAAACACTCAAAATTCCCCAATTTACCTGTATTTTAGAACTGGCTTGAAAGAAAACAGTTTTCTATTCTTAATGAGAATTATATTTATTACAAATAAATAAATTCTAGCTACAGTAAACAATTGTGAACTTCCACATATAACTCTGCTTGTTATAACACTAATCACCTTATAAATCTTGTCCCACAAACACACAAAAGCCATGATTGTTTTTGGCAGTGGGAAAGATGGAAACAGTTAAATGGTCCTTGACCACAGAATTTGCTGAAATGATCCTTTTGGTTTGTCAGGACCGTCTTCTCCTCAATACTCTTTCTCCGCGTACTTTCACTTACTTGCAGGAGCCTAAAGTCTGTAACTTATTTTAAAAGTCATAGTTTATAGCAACTGATGAGGAGATGTAAACTGGCTTTTTTTAGGCTTAAGGTGCTTTGAAAGCAGAGAGGGGACAGCTCCTTCCTTTCTGGAGATCCAATGGCTTCTGACCAAGTATTCACACCCACAAGCTGTTCAACTACATGGCAGCCAATCACAGTTGTTGGCAGGTAGAAGGCCTTTGTCATTGATAACTGGACACCCCTCCCCAAATCTATCATCTATTTTTTGCCAACTGATTTTCCCTTCAGACAAGTCCGTCTGCAGCTCATCAGTATTCAACTCCCAAACCGTTTGAACAAACAGCAGGGTAAATGGCACATACATTGAGTGCTGGCAATCCACTTTTAAAGAGTGCAGCAATCCTTTCCACATCTTTGCTGCTTTTTAAAAAGAATCCTTTTTCCATTTCATTTCATAATTAAAAATAAACAATAAAAAGATAAGGTCTTTACACAATAATGATTAATTTATGCATGATACGATTATCATTGTGTATGGGGCCTCCAGCAGCAGGTGGCAATGGTAAGGGAGGGCACAGAGCAGAGGAGCTCAAGCAGTCAAGCTGCACTCTCTGGAGGGATGGGTGGCTTTGTCAGAAAGAAGCCTCATGGAGAGAGGGAAAGAAAAACAAAGGATTTCTGCAGCCAGATATGAACTACAGGCTTCATACCATATAAATATTCAGTTTTCCTAATTTAACCTTAGCTTCCCCTCATGTTTGTAAAGAACCGATGCTTGAGGAATAAAGAATCCCTGTTTCATGTCTTTCAGGCCATCTAAGTGCTTAAATATTATGTTACAGTTGTTTGTTCCCTGAGTTGAGGATGGAATCTGCTCAGGTTCACAGGTTTCTACTTTGGGTGTTCTGGACTCACTAAAAATCGTGTACCTGGGATATAACCTCCCACAAAGTAGTGAATGCAAGAATGCATGATTTGCACTCTTTTCTTTTATTCTATTATTTCTTGTTTAATTGCTTGTTGCAGTTCTCCCATTGATAGTTTACCGATAGATTCTACTATGCCACTCTTCCTCATCATTACAAAATAGGAACTAAAAGTGTGATGCAGCTTGATGGACAAGTTGCCATTCTGAATACCTTTATTGACTGGAAGGAAATTGCTAAAGTCAGCACACTTAAATGGTCTTCTCAAGGATGATAATAACATATACCAATGTTAGAAGGAACATGTTGAACAATTCCCTCACCAAGAATCCACTGTGACAATTAAAACCCTCCAGGCTATTCCCCAAGTCTCCCATTGTAGAATTCATCAACGAACCTTCAATGGGAGAACTACAATGAGCAATTAAACAGAAGATAAACAAAGCCTGTGGCACCAATGCCATTCCAGCTGAGGTCTTCAAAGCTGGTGGACTTTTGCATACATTGAGACATTGTCCTCCAATTGAGAGTTAAAAAAAACTCCCCTCCCAACTTCAGGAATGTGATAATCAGACATATCTTCAAGAAGACAGAGAAATTGTGCTGTGGAAACTATCGAAGTAGTTCCTTTGACTGAAGTGTGGATATGCCAGTGTTGGACTAGGTCAAAAATCACACAACACCAGGCTCTAGTCCAACAGGTTTATTTGAAGCTTTCGGAGTCTCGCTCCTTCTTCAGGTGTCAGTGAGACAGGTGGCATCAGACACAGAATTTATAAGCAAAAGATCAAGGGGCCATAGAACTAATGTGAATGTGTTGAACAAACCTAAGATGGCTGTTAAGAACACAAGAACATAAGAACTAGGAGCAGGAGTCGGTCATCTGGCCCCTCGAGCCTGCCCCGCCATTTAGTAAGATCATGGCTGATCTTTGAGACTCAGCTCCACTTACCCGCCCGCTCACCATAACCCTTAATTACTTTACGTTTCAAAAATTTATCGAGCCTTGCCTTCAAAACATTCAGTGAGGTAGCTTCAACCACTTCACTGGGCAGGGAATTCCACAGATTCACAACCCTTTGGGTGAAGAAGTTCCTCCTGACCTCAGTCCTACATCTGCTTCCCTTTATCTTGAGGCTATGTCCTCTAGTCCTAGTTTCACCTGCTAGCAGAAACAACCTCCCTGCCTCCACTTTATCTATTCCCTTCATTATCTTATATGTTTCTATAAGATCTCCCCTCATTCTTCTGAATTCCAATAAGTATAATCCCAGTCTACTCAGTCTCTCCTCATAATCCAACCCTCTCAACTCTGGAATCAACAGAGTGAATCTCCTCTGCACCCCCTCCAATGCTAGTATATCTCTTCTCAAGTAAGGAGACCAAAACTGCACACAGTACTCCAGGTGTGGCCTCACCAGGACCCTATACAGCCGAAGCATAGCCTCCCTGTTTTTAAACTCCATCCCTCGAGCAATGGCAGACAAAATTCCATTTGCCTTTTTAATCACCTGCTGCACCTGCAATCTCACCTTCAGCGATTCATGCACAAGGACACCCAAGTCCCTTGGCACAGCAGCGTGCTGCAATTTTTTACCATTTACAACATAGTCCATTTTGTTGTTATTCCTACCAAAATGGATGACCTCACACTTATCAACATTGTACTCCATCTGCCAGACCTTTGCCCACTCACTTAGACTATCTATATCCCTCTGCAGACTTTCAGTGTCTTCTGCACACTTTGCTATACCACTCATCTTAATGTCATCTGCAAATTTTGACACACCACCCTTAGTCCCCAACTCCAAATCATCTATGTAAATTATAAACAATTGCAGTCCCAACACTGATCCCTGACGCACACCACTAGCCACCGACCGCCAACTAGAAAAACACTCATTTACCCCTATTCTTTGCTTTCTACTGGTCAACCAATCCTCTATCCATGCCAATACATTAACTGTAATACCGTGCAACTTTATCTTATGTAGCAGCCTTTGGTGTGGCACCTTGTCAAATGCCTTCTGGAAATCCAGATATACCACATCCACAGGTTCCCCACTGTCCACCATGCAAGTAATGTCCTCAAAGAATTCCACCAAATTAGTTAAACATGACCTACCCTTCATGAACCCATGCTGGGTGTTCCCAATGGGACAATTTATATCCAGATGTCTTGCTATTTCTTCCTTAATGATAGATTCAAGCATTTTCCCCACTACTGAAGTTAAGCTAACTGGCCTATAGTTACCTGCTTTTTGTCTACTTCCTTTTTTAAACAGTGGCGTCACATTGGCTGTTTTCCAATCTGTGGGAACCACCCCAGAGTCCAGTGAATTTTGGTAAATAATTAATAGTGCATTTGCTATTTCCCCCATCACATCTTTTAGTACCCTGGGATGCATTTCATCAGGGCCAGGAGTCTTGTGTACCTTTAGCCCCATTAGCTTGCCCAGCACTCCCTCCTTAGTGATAATGATAGTTTCTAGGTCCTCACCTGCTATAACCTTCTTGCCACTAATTTTCGGCATGTTATTTGTGTCTTCCACCGTGAAGACTGACACGAAATAACTGTTTAATGTCTCGGCTATTTCCTCATTCCCAGTTATTAAATTGGCCTTCTCATCCTCTAAAGGACCAATGTTTACCTTCGCCACTCCTTTACGATTTACATATTTATAGAAACTTTTGCTGCCTGTTTTTATATTCTGAGCTAGTTTACTCTCATAATCTATCTTACTTTTCTTTATAATTTTTTTGTGGCTTTCTGTTGGCCTTTAAAGATTTCCCAGTCTACTAGTTTCCCACTACTCTTTGCTTTTTTGTATGTTTTTTTTTTCAATCTGATACTTTCCTTTATTTCCTTAGACATCCATGGCTGGCTCTCTGTTTTTCTACAGTTCTTCCTTATCACTGGAATATACTTCTGCTGAACACTGTGAAAAATTGTTTTGAAAGTCCTCCACTGTTCCTCAATTGACCCACCATAAAGTTTTTGCTCCCATTCTACCTTAGCTAATTCCTTCCTCATTCCTTCATAGTCTCCTTTGTTTAAGCACAGGACATAGGTACTGGATTTAACCTTCTCACGCTCCATCTGTATTTTAAATTCGACCATACTGTGATCACTCCTTCAGAGAGGATCCCTAACTGTGAGATCATTAATTATTCCTGTCTCATTACACAGGACTAGATCTAGGATAGCTTGCTCCCTCGTAGGTTCCATTACATATTATTCAAGGAAATTATCACGGATGCATTCTATGAACCCCTCCTCAAGGCTGCCATGACCAACCTGGTTTGATCAATTGACATGTAGATTAAAATCCCCCATTAAAATTGCTGTACCATTTTTACATGCATTAGCTATTTCTATGTTTATTGCCCTCCCCACCACGATGTCGTTACTTGGTGGCCTATAGACCACACCTATCAGTGACTTCTTCTCCCTGCTATTCCTAATTTCCACCCAAATGGATTCAACGTTTTATTCAGTAGAACCTATATCATCTCTCACTACTGCCCTGATATCATCCTTAAAAATCAGAGCAACACCACCTCCCTTGCCTTCCTGTCTGTCCTTCCGAACAGTTTGATACCCCTGGATATTTAACTCCCAGTCATGACCATCCTGTAACCATGTCTCTGTAATGGCCACTAAATCATACCCATTTGCCCTGATTTGCACCATCAACTCATCCACCTTGTTTCGAATGCTCCGAGCATTCAGATAAAGTGCCCTTATGCCAGTTTTTGCACCTTCTTTTTGGGTCCTATTACCTCCATTACTAACAGCTCTTGAGTTCTCCTTCCCTTTAACTTTTTTCCTGATTTTCCATGGAGTTGAAGCTTCCTCGTCACCTGCTAACCTGCTGCTTTGCCTTACATTAGTTGTTATTCTCCCTCTATGTTCACTTCTCCCTTCCCCCTTTAAATCTTTAATCAGTTAGAAAGGATCAATATGCAAATTCCAGAATTTCTTTCAAGTCACAGCCCCAAGATAACTAAAGGTTTTATCAGTTCCTACAGTATACCAGAGGTGACATCCCAGGGCAGACAATGCATTTTATGTGTGAAGCCTTGTTTAGAATCTGGCTGTGAATCAACTTGGAGTCAGACTGGTTTTATTTCCAAAGTAGGAATTTATAAAATGCCACATTGACTGTCTACAAATTGTGTGCTTTTTGAACAAAACAGAATGTATCTGCAATTACAAATTTGCAAATACAAATTCACACCACAGATTTATATGTGTGTGCGTGCTTGCATGCGTGCATGCATGTGTGTGTATTTGGAAGGAGCGAGACTCTGAAAGCTTGTGTCTTCACGTAAGCTTGTTGGACTACAACCTAGTGTTGTGTGATTTTTGACTTTGTCCATAGTACAGAAAGTCCTGATATAACCATTTCTTGTGGCTGAAGAAAGCCTTGTTGAAGCACACTATGATAATAGTTGTGTAATTTAATTCCAACACAGCTGAATTACTAGTTATGAGAATATTAGAAATTCTAACTTCCACATTAACATGTTTACTTATTATTTTTATGTGTATGCTGAACTGTGTTATGAATCTTAATTACCTGCAATACTGCATTATTAGCTGGGAGTTCACATTTGGATTTTGCACCAAAACATAGACACATTCTTTTCTTTTTGCTGGATTATCTCTAAGTGTCGACTGAAATGAGATCTAGAGAAACCAGAAATTAAGGGCTCTGAGAAATTAATAAATCACAACAACACATTTGAAGAGAAATTACTGAACTTCAGGAAGTTACTGAAAATTTCATAAATGAAATAAATTGTACTGTGTATTTAAATACCAATGGCATGTATACACTACCAAAACAGTGTCACTAAAGAGTGAAACAGCCAAAATCTGGCATCAGAGTCCTGCTTGAAGGAGACAATCCAGCTACACTTCACTGATCTGTGTGAAATCCTGATTTACACAGAAGTTTAGCATTTGTAATAAGTGAAAAGTGCTCTCTATTAACACCAAAACTACATTGCAATTCTTTAAAACATGTTCCTGTGACATGGGAAATACTGGCATGACAAAGCTGAAATAACTATCCATCACTAGATTCACAGTGGTAAAAATGTGCTATTTTCCTAAACCACTTCAGTTCTTCAGCAATTCTCCTAAAAAGGTGTTAGGTCTAGAATTTCTGAATCTTGACAAGGCAATGATAATACAGATCAAGTCAGAACACTGTTTGACATCAGGGAAAAACTTGAAAGGGATGGTAGACAGAAAAGGTGGTATTTTACCAGTCATTTCCATATCACTATATTATACAGCCATGCTCGTTCATATGCTGTAAGCAGTGTGGTTACTTCAATAATCTGTACACACCAGCACAAATCACAGAGATATTGGCTGGAATTTGGCCAAATCAGAAATCGTCTCACTGTGGGACTGGAAGCTGGTGGTAAGCACATATTGAGGGATGATGGGACTCCAGATAGGATCTTATCAGTACAACCAATTAAGACACCACCATCAAATTGACGTCCATTTGAAGGTGGTAGCTCATCTCACAAAGTTCCTGGCCTTTTGATGCTGCTTCACAGATACTAAAGTGCTCTTGAAGGTCATTTACCTTTTTTTTTAAAAGAATGTGTCAGAGTCAGTCAGATATCCCTCAGTAATCAGAGTACTGGTTTGTCCAACAGCAGCTGGCAATGACTTATACCAATACCAAGGAAATCCTGGAAAAGCAGAAGTGACTACAAATTGGCCAACTCATCTGTTTAGCTGTCTGCCAACCTCTAATCAGCAGGTCATTGAGCTGTTTCTGTACCTACCAGTGAGAATATTCCTTGTTAAAACAACATTTTACTGAAGTTACTTACTCCAAGTTTACTGAGCTTCAGACACCATTCCGTATCAACAATTAACGAATTGAACTTCTCTTTCTGTTGCCCATCCTGAAGCAAATCAGCCAGTTTAGCACCAACAACAGCAACTGCCTGAAACAGTAAAAATTTAACAAATAAAAAGGAAAACAGAACGGTTCCAACAGTTAGCTTTAGTACACTCTTTTGTAATGATTGAAAAAGGGAATTATGTTATTAGACATATCACATTTGCCATAAAAACTTTAAATAAGTTATTTTGGCGCTACCATGCAAAGGTCCAAAATTATCAAAGATTATGAAAGTTTAAAGTATGCATATCAAAAATAGTGCATTGTCTCATGATTCCAAAAAGTCACGATAGATAATGTATACACATAACATAACATTATCAATCACATTAGTAGCATCTAATGGTATTCAACAATACCTTCAAACTAGGTACTTCTTTGAGAAGAAAGATCACAGCTGCACTAAGCCCAAGATACATGTGAGCAAACACAACAAATTTTATGGGTTAAAGCAATCAAGGCATATGCTGCATACACCAACAAAAAAAAGTTAGTACTAGCTGGTAAAAGTTCATCTCCAGACAGCTCCCAAAAGTTTCATATAAACAACCATTCATAGACAAGATTGAAAAATGCCATTTGACAGCAGGGAACTGCCAAAAAGAAAGTTAAATAGAGAATGGATTTTTCAAAAAAATGCTCACTTGAGAATAAGAGAAAAAGATATCTTGTTTCTCCAAGTGAGTTAAACCCAGCTGAATGATGTCTGAATTATTGCATTGTTGTTGGTTAACATAGAGAACAGCCAATCACTGCAAGTTATTTCCTTCTCTAATTTTCATAAAGACTTCAGATCAAAAACTACTTAATTTCTGGGGCTGGAGGGGATTTTAAAAATTTGAAAATATGGAGCCTGCATTAAAAAAAAAGGAGTTATGCCTGATGTCTTTTTCTATTTCTGGATACATGGGTTAAAGACTGTACAAATTGCCATTTAGTACACTATTATTAAATTTGCTAAGTCAAGAGAAATGCAAAGATAGATAAAGAAAGTGATGATGTAAGGGGTATAAAAAGGCCACAGTTGGAGGGAATGGGGGATGCAATCGTTCCCGATGGCCCAGATAGGAATGTGTGATTTCTGGAATGCCTGCCAAAAGAAATACCCAAGTCTGAGAAATGCCAATCCTGTCAGTGTCTGTCCTGGATGCTCCAAACTCTCAATGCAGTTCCACAGATCCTAAAACATACATCACAATATCCTTCCCCTTGGAGAACAGAAGGTTGAAAGAAGCTATTCAAATCATGAGGGTTTAAACAGAGTAGATATGGAGAAAGAGATCACACAGTTTCAGTAATTTGCCAAAGAAGTAATGACAACATAAGGAAATGCTTTCTCACACAGTAATTCTCTAGAATCTGGAATGGACTGCCTGTGTGTGGTGGTGGTATGGTAAATCAAGGCTTTTGAAAGGGAATTGGATGATTGTTTGAAATGGAAGAAATTGCACAACGATGGGATAAAATGGCAGGAGTGTTGCACTAAATGAATTGCTCCTTTAGAGAACCAACACAGGCATGACAATGGCCTCCTTCTGTGCTGTAGCTGCCTTTTCTAGTTCATATCCCAGGACAAGCAACATTTCATCATTCAGAAATGCCTCTGCCAATGATAACAGTTTCTAAACCTCCTACAATCAGCTCCAATGTTCTCAGAATTTCTCCTCCCCTAGAATGTTTCTGGAATTGACAAAACAGACGATCTAATATGTCCAGGCCCAAGTCCCCTTTTCCAGTTCCTTTCGATCCAGTGCATAACAAATTAGTACACCTGTTAATAAATGCTATGTAGTAGCACAACCCTACTTTAAGAAAATCTGATTGACCAGAAGCAATGCTGCACATAAAATTAGTTTATGTTCTAAAATGAATCAGCCAAAACAGCAATGTTAATGCAATACAAATAAACAAGCTTTCTTAAAAAAAAAGCATTAAAGATATCAAAGAGTTAATTTACTTTCAAGTGTGAATAGATGGAATACAGATGTGTCTACCTAGAAATCTTTAGGGTGTGAAGAGAATAGTCCGTTCTCCTGTTTAAATTGTAAAGGTAAAAAGTCAGGATTCAAATGTTTGGGAAGTGGGTTAATTCACTCTTGAAATCTTAAATAGTATGCGAAATTTGGAGCAGGAAAAATTCAAGAAAAATCATGCCATTCACAATACAGAGTTTGATTCGGAAGAGAATCTCTAAGAAGCTGCTCCTAAAAATGCAAATTGTCTCCCAAATTTACTGCTCCATCTCCTTCACTCACAGATTCTCTCCCACCTGCTTTTGATTCTCCTCCAAAGACACTTCTACTTTTTGGAGTTTGTTGCCAATGCTCAGTGCCATTGAAGATGGGTGCTGATGTGCACATGGGGAGTTGCCTGTATGCCCCTACCTATGCATGGGAATGATTTTACTCCAGTTGGGGTTTCATCAGTGATTCAGAAAGGTACTGCAATCTCCCTTGTTTTTGTATTGTAGTTCTGTTTTTGGCTTGTAACTGTGTGGCTCTGAACTTAAAAGCCAGCAAATTGAATGAAGCTGGCCAACAAAATGACTCAGTACATGACTGGACTAATCTTGGGACAATTCAATTTAGAATTTGAGAAGGAATTTCTTCACCCAGAGGGTTGTTAATCTATGGAATTCCTTGCCCAGTGAAGTAGTTGACGCTACTTCAGTAAATGTTTTTAAAAAAAAGGTAGATTTTTTTTGAACAATAAAGGAATTAAGGGATACGGTGAGAACACAGATAAGTGGATCTGAGTCCACGAAAGGATCAGCCATGATCTTATTGAATGGCGGAGCAGGCTCGAAGGGCCAGACGGCCTACTCCTGTTCCTAGTTCTTATGTTCTTATGATAGGCTCTAATTTTGTGCACATGCACATGGTGCTCCATCTAGTGGTAGTGTTAGCCTTAAACTCAGCCCTTTTTAAATACAGTCCAAACATAGCTTGTAATTACAGCCATTACACAATGACAGAACTGTTCCAACACAGGAAGAGGCCATTTGGTCTGTTGTGTCTGCAGTGGTTATCAGTAGAGTTAATTCACCCAATGTCATTCCTCCACATTCTCCCTGTGGGTCAATTGATTCTTCTTTTTCATATTACAATTCAATTCCCTCTTGAATGCTCTGTTGAACCTGCCTCCACCAGACTCTTAACAGTTCAATGGTTCAAGATCGTAGATCATTACACGTTCTCAAGGGCAACTAGGGATGGCCAATAAATACTATCCCAGAAAATGACACCCACAATCCTTAAAGGTATTTTTAAAAAAAGCTAAATCACTGTCTACATTTCCAAAAGTCACCAGTGTCCTTAGTCAATTACCTTAAATCTATGCCTTCTTAGTATTTATTTTAAAATTTCCAGAAAATAGTTTTTCCCAATCTGTCCTGACACCTCATACTTTTCAGCACATCTACTAAGTCTTTTCTTAGCCTTTGTTCTTCAAGGAACAAAGCCCAAATTTCTCTAATCTACCAATGTAACTCAAGTTCCTGATCTCAAGTTGAACATAGCTCCTTTGCTTTTGCATTCTATTCTCTTACTAGTCAAGTCCAGAATGCTGTATGCTTGATTAAACCATGCTCTCAACCTGTCATGTCAGTTTCAATCATTTATGTACATATACCCCTAGGTTCCGCTGCCCTGTTAACACATTTTAGAACCATACTCTTTATTTCATATTGTCTTCTTCCAATCAAAGTGAATCACTTCACATTTCTCCACATTAAATTTTATCTGTCACTTGTCCACCCACTCCACCAACATATGTCCTTTTGAAATTCGACATAATTTTCCCAACAGTGCATAAGTCTTCCAAGAATTGTTATCATTTGCAAAATTTGAAATCAAGACACGTATACCAAAGTCTCGATCATTAATATATATCAGAAACAACAAGGATACCAACACTGGGGAGCACCCAACAAACACTCCTCCAATTCAAAAAATATCCCATTAACCACAACTTAGTTTCCTGTCATTCAGCTATCCACGTCTATACTGTCCCTTTTATTGCGTGAGAGATAACTTTGCTCAAATCTTTGTTTTTATTATTTCATTTCATTGATGTGGTCCAAGTGCACGACATCAACAGTAATATCCTCATCAACCTTCATTGTTAACGTGATCAACCGTGCAGCAATTAATTTGTTCTGTTATTTACATAAAATTGTTCTTACGCTGTCTGATTTCAACGTCATTGTGTTAAGAAGTTGAAATTGGATAAGAATTGGATATTAATTTATTGATTTAAATTGAAACTTACACTTGGAATCCAAATTTGACAAACAACACCAAGGATCGAATGAAGAACAGTACAGTTAACTCATGTGAAAATATAAAAGGAACCCCTGTGTAGTGCTTGCAATGAGATGAGCCAGGTGGACCTCATAGCATATGAGTCCTCTGAGTGGAGCTGCTAATTGGGTCCAATCAAGGATCTCTGGCTGACAGATAAGAACAGAAGTCTCAGACATCCTGTTCACTCTGAGAGCTGGATCAGTGTCAAGAACTCTTCATGTCAAAATAAGAGGACTTGGTGACGGGATACCAGCCTGTGTGGAGTTATTTCATTCTGAAAATCTAAAAGTAGTCCCTAACAAAATTAATCTTATTTTTTGAGGAAAAAAGTTTTGACCCTTGAGATCAATGCATAGATATGAATACAACATCATGATTTAAGGATTTTAACAAAGAGTTATACATACCAGAATTTTGTTATAATTTTGCCATGCGTCATTGATGAAATTCCACAACTTCTCAAATACAACATTCTTTGGTAACAATGTGCAGTATGCCAGTGCTAAGTCAGTGTCAACTATACGACAGTTAAACAACTAAGAAATTAAAAGAGAAGGTTTTAATGTAAAAATGTTGGCCTTGATAACACAAATAAAACTATTTGCGTATTTCTTTAAAAAAAGCAGAAAATTATAAAGACAATATACAATTAAATTACCATTCAATATTGATTTATGCATAATCTTGAAGATATATATGACTCCTTTTACTACAATGAATTACACCAATGAATGAATACAAATGATAATGATACAAATATATTTTCCTTATTTGGGAACTTCATCTTAATAAAGCAGTTCACTCTGTAGATACAGCAATCATTACTTCTATATTGAAGATATCTCTATATGGTGTATCATTCTAAGAAATATAACGATATTTGGCTCATTCAGTAAATGTATCACAAAGTTGCACCAAACACAGAATTAACTGTTCACTGTCATTACAAACAGATTTATAGCCTTCAGACTTCGGGAGAAAAATCATTTGGAATGTGTCTTTTTGATTTAAGTCCCATGATTTCTGCCAAGAACTAGGCATTTGTGAGGAAGGTGAAAATCATCAGTTTGACTTCAACTCCACTATGGTCTTCTGACCTCACTTAAGAAAAATAGTTTCTTTTCCAGGATACCATGTCACTACTAGGAAGATGCTGGCACCAGCTAATTACATGATATTGAATATTTGAGTGACACAGCTAAGATGTTTCAGACTCAAATCACCACTGTATTGACTTTTCAGCCAGAAGTGAAAATAAAGGCATTACAGTTAGCCACAATACACCTGAGGAAGGTGGGGTAGAAGGGGAGAATGTCAGACTTCACACAACTAATTTTTATCTCATGACTTTGTTTGGAAAAGCACAGATGAAAGAGGAGTTGTAAGGAGGTCAAATAGCCTATCAGAATTCAACTGTAAAATGTTCATGCAAAATGACAAGGAGGAAATTGGGGGAATGAATGTTCTAATTTACCTTGTGCAGCAATGCCAGGGAATTCTTTTTAACAATTGAAAAGGCCATATTTCCAATGTCAATGACAAAATCTTTGAGTTCCTTTAAATCTTGACCCTCAAAAAGCTAAAAGTATAGAAAAGCAAAGGTTTATTAATGATTTGTTGTATTTAGAATGAAAAGCAAAAAACAAGTTAGTTTTATCCCATTATCACACAGCATGTTGCGAAGCCTCACAAGAGGTAGTCTTTACATAAGAATGTTAGTTTTCAAATAAATTAGCCCGAAGTGTTATACACTCAACCACACTAATTTATTTAAAAACAATTCAATGACAGGTTATGCCAGGAAGTACTAGCTAGAAATCAAAGGTTCACCAACCAAGATATTCCTGTTGGAAAATCAGTCTTTAGATATTGTTTAAGGGGAACACAGCATATATTCATGTCAACAATTTGAGCTTAAACATAACAAGGGTATGGAATCAGTTTTCTTATTCAAATATGACCTCAGGAGTTAGAAAGGAGGCAAAGAAACAATTCAGTTACATACAGAGCTTGAAACAACCAGTGTCAGTACAGGACAATAGTCTACTGAGCCACTTTAGATTACAAGTTGAATTTGATGATAAAACTAGCAGCCAGCAATCACACAGTACAAGTTGGATTAAACACAGCCTTAACAGGGCAGTCAGGCCCAATTAATTACAGGAGGGGCCCTGTGACAATCTCCCAGTGGCAGCAAGTTGAAGGGAAGAAGGGGCTGACACTAGATTTCGACATCAAGACCCAGGCATTAGTTAGGTTTATATTAACAAGACAATTGTCAGGTATTATATTTTAGTGGTAATTTATTAGACATACCATTCTTGCTTTAATAACTTTAATTAAGATATTTTGGTGCTACTGTGTGTATGATCAAAGAACTTAGCGGAGAGAACGGGTGGGGGGGTGGTCAACAGTGACCAACGAAAGCCAACCACTGCCCTTACCTATGAGCCCCTCCTGCAACATCTATCCTACTGTCAGTCATTTTTTGGTCTAGAGTCCCACAATGATCTTCTGGTGAGTATATAGCTACCAGCTGCCACTACTCCTATTTGGAGAAATGGGCAGCTGCCAACCTCTAACAGGACTTCAGCGGGACTTCAGTCACAGGAAAGGGTTGACACCAACCACCTAAATGTCTGCATGGCATGTGATTTGGTTAAGCCTTCCTTACAGGCTGACAGGGATTCCCACCTGTTTCCTGATTGGTGTTCAAGAACCATGTCAGCCCAAGCCAGACCACAAACTGAGGCGGGAACTTGGGCAGAGCCCCTGGTGGCTGCAAGAGACTAGGGATTTTAAAGGTAAAAACAGAGTGGAGGAAATGGAATGTAGGAATTGGAGCTGGGGAGAGAAGAAGGAATTCGGGACTAAGAGTGAGACTGAAAGCAGTGTGGGAAATGGTCATGTGCATATTGCAGGAAGTCTGTGGCAAAAGACATTAAAGCAAAACGCAGGTTAAATAAATACATCGATATTACTTTTTTAAGGTTGAAGTGAAACAACACTGAGTCTATTTTGAGCTGGGATTTACTGTACCTTTTTACTCAAGTTTACATTCATATTGTTTGAAACTAAATGTTGATGACAGCATCCAAAAGAGTTGATGGTTAGCTGCAAAGCCAGCTGCAATTGGCTATACTCTTGCAAATTCTGCAGCAGGCTAGTCATGGGCATTGAAATTGGCTTCAAAGGGTTCTCGCCTGGATGTAAAATCAGATACTTTAAAATTACGGAATAATTACTTTCTTTTAAGACAATGTAGACACACACAGTGTGAGCCATAAAACAAAACTATACTGATACATTTTACTGCTTTGCCTGTTAACATACTGCTACATTTACATCAAATTTTCAATAATCTCCAATGATAGAAGCTGTCTTGAATTTAAAGATCATTTATAACATTTTTTAAACTTAACATGAGATACGCATGATCATTCATTACCATCCCTGGTTGGAAAAGCATCATTCTCCAGCAAAGATACAAACAGGGTTAGGCTTAGTTGCAATACCCCTCAACAGCAGAATAGTCTATTTATACACAAGGCATGTGCTCATATCTCATTGTTGGCAATTCGAGCAAGGTGGGACAAGATCTCATGGAAATATCTCAACAAAAATTTCAACATCAGGACAAGGACCAAATAAAGTTTTAGAAACTCTTCACTACAAGAGTTACCTCTTTCCACTTTCTAAGTCAACCATCCTGTTACTTTTACTAATTACAAGTAACATTTGTACATTAAAACGGGGGTTAAGATTTTTCAAAATATTTTCGTACAGATTCTTACTCTAATGGGGAGACTTCATCCCATTCATCTAAGCTGGTTTATTTTGAAAAGTGCCATATTGAAACTTCAATGGCATCTATTGTTCATCCCAAATTGCCCTTGAGAAGGGTGAAGGTGAGAATGCCTTTGTGAACCACTGTACTGCAGGTACACACATAGTATATTAGGGGGGTGTTCCAGATTCTCACCTGATGACAGTGAAGGAACAACAATATAATTCCATGTCAGTACAGTGCGCACTTGAAAAGGAACTTGTGGTTGGTGATGTTCCCATGCTTCTGCTGTCTTTGACCTTCCAAGTGATTGAAGGTGCATGTTTGGAGGTTGCTCTCAAAAGGAGCTTTGAGTTACTGAATAGGAAAGGTAAAAGAGGGGGACCTAAACCACTGTGTCATACCTCTTAGCAATTATATGATACTCCAAACTTGCCATTTATAAATGCTGATTTCGTTAGATTCAGATAACTATATAAATACCTGCTACTCCTGGGCTAACTGGCAAGCCAACGCAGTCCAATGGATAGAGTTTTTTATCTGCGTAAAACAAGAACTGCGTGAAACAGATAATAACCTAGATATTTTTAAGATTGCATACTAAATCTTCACTTTACCAGATATTACAGTACAGTAAATTCATTGCACTTTGTTTCATGATTCACAGAATCTTTAACACCTTTTTACAGTTGCCGAGCAACAACAGATTGGCAAACATGCAGCGTATGATATGTGACACTTCATTCTGAATACAATTAGCATAACATCTATGCAACAGTTTAGATTTATGGAAAGAAGGAGTAGGTTATAAGTATATAAAAAATTAATCTCAGAATTTAAAATGATAAAGTAACTTGTTGCTTGTTTTACATTTTAAAATCTAAATAGCACTCAAAACACACATTACTACAATCTTGTTAATATACCAAATTTCCTGGGAACAGACAGATTGTAACTCTACTCTCAGCTTCTTGTACCTGTAATTTCCTGGACTAATTTTAACAGAACCTGTCCATGGATTTTATGTTTATTTAGATCTCTACAGAACAAACAATAAATGATCAGCTGTTTAAAACTAGTTCACACACACCTGCCCTGGAGGAGTGTCATAACATGTCTGAACAGGCTAATTAAAATTTTTTTTGAAGAACTAATCAAATGAATAGATGAATAGAGTAATTGAATTTTTCTCCACTCCTCAAGTTGAGAGATTTTGCTGATGGAAGCAAGGTGATTTCAGTAATGATTTCCAACCTTCACACAGCATACTAAATTTTTAACTTGCCTTAAATGTAAATCGAATAATTTTAACAAAGCGATGAATGGCTGGCCTTTATTTCAAAGGGAGTTAAGTATAAAAATAGAGAAAACTTGCCAAACTATATAAGGCAGTATAAAAACCGAAAGAACTATGGATGCTGTAAATCAGGAACAAAAACAAAGTTGCTTGAAAAGCTCAGCGGGTCTGGCAGCATCTGTGAGGGAAAAATCAGAGTTAACGTTTCGGGTCCAGTGACCCTTCCTCAGTTGTGAAGGGTCACCAGACCCGAAACGTTAACTCTGTTTTTTCCTTCACAGATGGTGCCAGACCTGCTGAGCTTTTCCAGCAACTTTGTTTTTGTTGTTGTTGTTGTATATAAGGCAATAGTCAGGCCACAGCTGGAAAATTGAACAGTTTTGGACTCCTTATCTAAGAAAAGATATATTGGCATTGGCAACAGTTCAGAGAAGGCTCACTAGGCTGATCCTGGATATGAAGGGACTGTCTTACAAGGCGAGGTTGAGTAGATTTGGCCTGACCTCCCTAAAACACACAAGATTCTTAGTGGCACAGCAGGGGAGGGGTGTGTGTGTGATAGTATGGTGGCACAGTGGTTAGCACTGCTTCCTCACAGCGGTAGTGACTTGGGTTCAATTCCATCTTCAGGCACCTGTCAATGTGGAGGCTGCACATTCTCCTTTTGTCTGCATGGGTTTCCTCCGGGTACACGAATTTCCTCTCACAGTCCAAAGATGTGCAGACTAAGTGGATTGACCATGCTAAATTGCCCATAGTATTCGGGGATATGTAGATGGGTTACAGGGGAAGGGTAATGGGTCTGGGTGGGATGCTCTGAGGGTTGGTGTGGATTTGTCGGGCCGAAGGGCCTGTTTCCACACTGTAGGGATTCTATGATTTGACATGACAGGTTGGATGTGCAGAGAGCTGTAGAGGTTGGTTTGTTCAGTATATTCAAGGATGAGATACATAGATTTTTAATTAGTATGGGAATCAAGGGTTATAGAGAAAGGCAGGAAAGTGGAGGATTATCAGATCAGCCATATGTCATTGAATGGCAGAAAAGAATTGATGAATCAATGATGCAACATCATTAATCTTACCGTTATTCTGACAGTAAAATCCAGAATTAAATTTGACACCAACAACAAGCTGAATGAAATGAAAACAAATCAGATAAAAAAAAATCTTTGGATTCTACATCAGCTACCATACCTGGAGAATAGGACACAAACGAAGTTGTAATTTCATACATCACAGGCATCACTGATAGATGATCGAGAACAATGCCATCCTCTGTGAAGTAATCTTCAAAAGTCCACTCATCATACGGATCTTTGTCAGTTTCCAAAGTGGTCACCTTCTCAAACAAAACTACACACTTTAATAATCTAACAATTTACAAAATTAAAAGATCCTAACTCCTTATTAAACGACAAAAGGACTGAAACAAAATATTGCACATGCTGGGAGTCTGAGATTAAAACAAAAAGTGCTGGAAGCACTTAAGCATGTCAGCTTGCATTTATGAAGAGGAAAAACAAAGTTGATTTTTCAGGTCGATGATCTTTCATCAAATCTGGAGAAGTTTAAACTTCTTAGTTTATAAGATAGTTTAAACAAAATAGAAGGCAGTTATTAAATATCGGTTAGTTTTGCTACAACTGGAGAAGACATCGATGAGACAGTGCACAGTTTTGATCACCTTACTTGAAGAGGGATACACTTGCATTAGAAACAGTTTAGAGAAGGTTCAGTATACTGGTTTCTGGAATGAAGAGGTTTGTTTTATGGTGAAAGATTGAGCAGGTTCCACCGAAACTCATTGGAGTTTAGAAGAACAAGTGTTATTTGGTAGAAATATATTCCAAAACACAAAAAGAAAGAAACCTGAAGTTTAAAGAGGTCCCAACATAGCACTAGTATCTCTCTCTCTCTCAACAAAAGGAGAGATTTAAAGAAGGGTAAAGAGATACAGTTTATCCAAGAAAATCTTACAAATCCTAAATTAAATAGGACTAAAAGTAAAAGTTTAACTTATTGACTTTACTTAATTTTGTTATGAATGTTAGTAACATCAATGAATTTGTTTGTATTTTATAAAAGTTAAGATATTTACATGCAGACTAAGTAATTCAAAGTTCTCATATGAATCAGTTAGAAAAAACCTTGAGTAATGCTTTTGCCAAGACACATGACATAAGAAATGCTATGTATTTCAAAGGAGGTGCATGTAACATATTCATTTATTTGTATACAGATTAAGAAGATTATTAGATCTCAATGGGTTTCTCAAAAGGTAAATTAGGTTTTCAGAAAATATTTGTTTTCAGTGTTTGTATGCGCAAGACATGCAATTGCATAGAACACACAGCACAGTAATAGGCAATTTGGCCCAACGAGTGTTAACAACTGTCCAACTCCGATTGCTTTTGCAACTTTGTGGTGATTTTACCTCTGTGATTTATGAGGACAATTGTTTTGCACATTTGTAATATACAATATTCTTTTTCTGATAAAGGTGAAGCTTTATCGTTTAAGGTTTCAACATCTATTTATTGTCAATTAGCAATCATTGAAAACAGTTTAATTTCACTGCAAGATATAGAACCTGGCTTTTCTTTTTAATTAAAAGACATTAAAGTTAGTCATTGCCAGCTGAATTAAAACACAAGCTAGAATTCCTGCTTTCCTTTAAAAAGCTAAGAGTCTATGTAAGTACTCAAAATGATCTTGATTTTGTCATTTAAAAAAGTTGATAACTTTTCATTACACCAAAAAGTCTGATGTGATAGGAAATATGTATAAGATATAATGCCATACTTACAAATTATTCTTTGATATGTAAATTGTTAACAATAAACATGTATAAAGCAGAATCAAATCTTACCTTTGTTCTAAATCCATAATCATCAATTAGACACTGTCTATAAACATCCATAGCAGCACGAGTATTTTTACACAATTCTTCGCAGTCAAGTAAAAGGTCTGTAAAAGCACGTAGAAAATTAAATTGCAATGCATCTGTAATATTTCAGTGAAGAAAATGAAGTAGGTTAAGAGTGCACTTATTGTGCAAAATGCATACGTATCAATGCACTGGGCACTGAATCAGGGAAGAGCAAGTTCAATATAATTCCTTCAATGCTCTTGATGTCAGATGTAAGCTGCTGCACCACGGGAGTACGGGAAAATTAAAAACCTTCTAAATTCAAATTACTCTCATAAATCTTCTACTGCCAGAAGCAAAGCATAAAAATGGCAGCAGCCAAAGGTTTGCTGTTCTTTTTCTTCTTTTGAACAAATGTGTTCTGGGCATCAGGGAAACAAATTGCAACATAGATAGAAAGGAAATTAACTCAAAGATTGGGGTCACTTTCTAAGCCAACTTAAGGTGGGGTGGGTGGGGAAGAGAAATAACGTATTGGGCACTTTTATGACAGCTCCTCTAAATTAAGAAAATATATCCTCCCCCCCCCGCCAATCAGCAGAAAAATGTCTTTAAAGCTTTATTTTTGCCATATGCATAGACAAATTTAATTTTTCCTAAAAGGGAGTAGTGCTGGAAATTCAATTTATTTACCCAAGTTGAGTCAAATTAAAATTGTTCCTGCCACCATATCATCAACATTTCAACAGGAACTCTCAGGTTACATTAATTCTTTTGAGAATCTCTAGGAACAGTATTGCATGAATGTCATACTGACCTCCATGTTAAATCTGTCCATTTGACTTTTCTGTAACGTGTTTATGGCTGCATAGCAGAATAAAGATTTTTCTTTTCCTGATAACATACCTTATTTTTGCAGCTACTATTCCATTTTACTCCAAATAGTGATACTACATATTTCATAGAAGAAATTTAAATATCAAACTTCCGGAATGCAGAACTGTTGATATCATATGCTGAAACATAAATCCCTATTGGTATAAATGGATTGTAATTTTCAAATATGACGAATTTGTCCATGTTATTGTCAATAAACTAGTTTTACCCTTAATTAGAAAAGGAGTTTGGACAGTGACTTTGAACATTAAAACAATTATAGAAATAAACCATTTTATATTAAATTAGAAGGAATTCATAATTTTTCAGATACTGCTGCAACATTCTATTCCAAAATAATTTTGATACTAGCACAATTGCTGCTTAAATAAAAATTGAATGCTTCCAGGTAAAATAAATTTATCATCATCTTTTAAATTTAAAAGAATTCCTTAATCCCTACAATTAAATTCTAAATCCCTCAAAAATAAATGATACTCAAATATGAGAAAGTGAATTATAAAAATTAGCTATTATAACATCAAGGCTAAAAAGAACTTCTCAGTAAGAAATTACCAGTGCTGCAGATAGTGGCGGCTTGGCAGGCCAATTCATAAATAACAGAAGGCAAGTTCATTCCATTTGGAATGATCATGGGAACATTAGCCTCCAACATCTGACACAACTTCTGTGCCACGTGGAACAATACTCGACCAGTCTTACTGTTTTTGTACTGCCCATAAAGATCACTGCAAATAGGATAAGAAATAATGATAAAATAAAAATAATTGTGGTAACTTAATGATGTTTTAAAATCATTTACTTATGCTTCATTTCAATCTGTCAAACATCATTACCCGACCAGCAACATTTCAAACAGCACTTTTCATATGATAATTAAGAGGGCAGACTGATTTATGCACAACACAGCAATAATTTAGCTGAGTACAATCAATAAATAGTTCCTATACTAAAGCTTCAATAATTCCTACCTGCAAAGATTCACTGTCTTGCCTATATTCCCATCAGAAAGTGTCCTCATTGCAAGTTCCGATACTATATCTTGTTCTGAATTTTGGAACAGGAGAGACAATTTGTATAATCTGGTCTCCATAGGAATCTTCACATTGATGTTTGAGCCACCAAAACAATCTGGGTCCTTTTCTAACTTGGAGTTAGACCATGTACTTGTATATGCTTGAAGTTGGCCTTCATACAATTGCAAAAGCACTTTAGGATTCTCGTACTCTTCCAGGGAAATAAATACGTCAAAATACTCCTGCAAACCAAGGATGGAAGATCAGTCTTAACTAAAATAAAAATCAAAATATACAGATTATAGAAATGTAATGTTTTAAGTAATAGCCTTAGGTAAGGGGTAGCAGTTTCCTATTGGGAGTAGGACTTGAACACATGATCTGCCAACAGAAATTAATACTTCAGTGCAATATGAAGTATTGTTTGACAATGGTGCTATATTTTGAATGAAATTTGCAACCAAGGTTTTTAGTTTTATCACTCAGATGAATATAAAAGATCTATAGTATTATTTAGTATAAAGAGCAGTTCTGCTGTGCTGGCCAATATTTAACCTTCAACCATCACTAACACAGATTTTCAAAAAATTCACTCATGGCTAGGCCAGCAATTATTGTCAATCCTGATATGTCCTACAGACAGTGGTGGTGTGCTGCAGTCCTTTGGGTATAGTAGAACACACATGCTATTAAAGAGGAAACACTGAGATTTTGACTCACAAACAGTGATGTGGTTCCAAGTTGGGATTGTATGTGGCTTGATGGAGAACTTGCAGGTGTTGGTGTCCCCATGCATCTGCTGCTATCATCCTTCCAGGTAGGAGAGATCATGAGTTTGGAAGGTGCTCTGAAGGGAGCCTTAATGAGTTGCTGCAGTGCATTTTGTGGATGGTATACACACCAGGTGCCACTGTGCATATTTGAAGGGAGTGAATGCTGAAGGTGGTAGATGGTGTGCCAGCCAAGTAGGTTGCTTTGTCCTGGATGTCATCAATCACCTTAAGTATTGCTGGAGCTGCACCCATCCAGGCAAATGAACAGTATTCCATCACTCTCCTGATTTGTGCCTTGTAGATAGTAGACAGGCATTGTGGAGACAGGAGGGAAGTTACTTACTGTAAAATTCCTAGCGTCCATCCTACATTTGCAGCCACAGTATTTATATATCTGGTCCAGTTCAGTTTCTGGTCAACCTAACTCCAGGATATTGATAGTGGGGGTTTCAGCAACAGTAATGCTGTGAATGTCAAGGAGTGATGATTTGGTTCTCTCTTCTTGAGGGTGGTCATTGCCTTGCACCACATGAAGGTTACTTGCCACTTATCAGACCAAGCTTGGATGTTCATCCAGGGTGGCTGCACACAGACAAAGACTGCTTTCAGTATGTACTGTGCTGTGAATGGTGCGGAGTGTTGTTTAATCATCAGCAAACATCTCCACTTCAGACTTTATAACAAAGGGAAGGTCATTGATGAAGCAGCTGAAGACAGTTCTAGGAGACTATGCTGAGGAATTCCTGCAGAGATGACCTAGGATTGACTTCCAACAAATACAATCATCTACCTTTGTGTTTGGTTTGGCACTAACCAGCAGACAACTTTCTCCCCTATTCTCACTGTGTCCATTTTGCTAAGGCTCCTTGATGCTATATTCAGTCACATAAGTCAAGGGCAGCCTCTCCCACCCTACCCCTGCAATTCAGCTCTTCGTCATGCTTGGACTAAGGCAATAATAAAGTCAGGTGGCAAGTGGCCCTGAACCCAAACTTAGCACCAGTGAGCAGGCTATTCTTTTGCAAGTATTGCTTGACAACATTGTTGTCAACCCCTTCTATCATTTTGTTAATAATCAACAATAGACTGAGTTGGTAACTGGCTGTGTTGGATTTATCCTTTGTTTTGTGTTGAAGACTTATATG